TGAATTTGTTCCTGATTATTTTAGCTCACTCGCTACTCTGTTCTCTTACATTTGATTTTGTGGCTGAAATACTGGTTTCAAACAATTACTCATAGTTTGAATTTCATATACAAAACACTGGTTACTCATAAAGGAAAACTACCAAAACTAGAGAGATTCCATTTTAGATAATGAATACAACATTTCCTAATGGAGAAATAAGGAGAAAATATTTTCTGCCTTCCCTCCTGCTAATTTCTGAGGATGGCTTTCACTCCTTTGTGCCCAAAAGAGTTGAGTGGTATGCAACAATTCCTCATGTGTTGAAGAGACAAGAAGTTTTTATTAGCAGGAGTTATGGCTTTGTAATTTACTTCATACATGGAAACCATCACAACATGCTGAACAACTAAGCAAGTCTTATTACCAAACTGTACACTACGCATCTCTGAAATTCAACCCTGTAGAATTTCCAGAGCTATAACAACCTTCCAGAACTCCTACAATATACTCCATTACAAAGGCACTTGCTCATGCTATCATTAATCTGTATTTCTTTTCAGTAGGTTGCACCATACCTTGAGGCCCAGGTGAACCATAAGCCAGGCTGTATCACCACATCATGGATTTTTACATTGATGTTAATAGAGCAGCTGTGTAGAGAAGGTGGGTTTTGTCTTAGACCAGAACTTAAAGGAAATAAAACCAGCTGATAGTTGGTTTTCACAGATATTTCTTAAGCAGAGAAGAATCTGGAGTTCCACTTCAGGCCCACACAGGAATACCGTATTCAGCAGTACAGCAGACAGGATGGACAACCCTGCGTATCCCTCCTGTCCGGAGCTGGAAAGTCTCAAGGAGTTTTCAAGCCATAGAAGAGACAGACCCATCTTCATTTTGCCCTCAGCACTGAGCCTTTATGTCCTATCCTTGTCTCCTTCATCTGTCCTTCCCAGCCTGGCTCCTTCTTCTTACCCCCCTTCCTTGCCTACTACCCTTCCTGCTCACTCAAACATTTCTCACCAGGACTGTCTTCTCAACCAATCCTCCTCTTCTTGCTTCACCCTCCCCTTGCTCACACTTGGTTCTGTCAGCTTCCAGCTCACAGCTCTAGTCCCAAAGCATACACCACTTCCCTCAGGATCTTTATGCAGCCACCCCAAACTATTCTTTGTTCTGACATCTTCATCCAAATCTGGCTCTTGACTCCTGTGAAAATCATAAGCTCTTGACTCCTGTGATTTATTTCTCCCTTGTCTCTAAAATTTTTATCCAATTTTACCTTCTACTCCTCAAGCATCACCCAGGTTCATTCTCTTTATCTGGTCATACTTTCAGATCCTTCCCTCCCTACATTCAGCTTCCTTATCCCTAAGTACACCTTTCCTTCTTACCAAGTTGGCTCTTCTCTCACCCATGCTAGAAACAGCTTTCTTATCCATGGATCTGGGTGGTCTTTGAAAGCACAGAAGAAACAGGCTCTGGCAGCACCTGGCCCAGGTCAGATAGGAGCTGACATTATGGGGAAAATCAAGCTCCTTTCCTGTGGCAGGCTCAGCCAGTCTGTAAAGGTGGTACCTGCACTTTTTATACTGCTTTAAAGAGGGACAAGAAGCTCAGGTCTGATAAATCAGAAGACAATTTTTTGTTGCTTTTGTCTTAAACACACAAAACACTGTGTTTTTCCCTGTGCTTGTTCCTGGAAATGAGTGAACTGCTTTTGCTGAAATTTGCCAAAACTTGAGCTCAAATCAGATACTTGGCATGTGAAATTTCACCATTGGTTATGTTTTGGCAAAATTCTAAGCAGTTAAAACCAGGTCCCAGTAATAAGAAGCGACAGGTAATCTTAATAACACGCAGACATGTCTAGAATATAAAAATACTTCCCAGTCTGGCTCAATGCAGCACACATTTCTGACACACCGCCATAACCACTTCTTTATCTTTTCTACTATTTTTCTTGGCTTAGATATTTTAAATGTTAGACTTCAGTGTCGCATAAAGAGAATTTAATTGTTATGCAATTGAAAACAAAAAAGGTTTGGCAAGGCAGTAGAGCAAGTTAAGTTCTATTGTGAGCAGCAGTAGATCTTAATTATCCTTGGAAAAATACCAAGCCTAAAGGCTGATCAAGGCAAAAAAAAACAAAAAAAAAACAACCCAGCAGAATATAAGCAAAACAGATAAGACCTTCAAGAAAATTGTTACAATTAGGGATCAGGATATGCCAAGCACTTTGCTGGTTTCTGGGGAAGGCTACACAGGCTTTTTCTTCCTGAAGCTCAGAGTATCTATACAGCATCCTGAGCTTTCAGCCGTTGACATGGGATGATTCTACAATTACTTCACCTGATGACAATCACCACTGCAACAGCCACCATGCAAAAATATCTGCTTTAAGGGTATTAGGTAAGGAAGCTTCTGGATCACTGAGGACTGTTGCTTCTACGTAACAGTTTTCAGGAAAAATAAGAATGAACAAACTCGGATTCATAGGACTGAGGCCTATTAAATTATAGCTGTTCCAAAGAAAATCCTGGAGAATAGGGTAAAAAATCCCATACGGTGACAACTGGATGGGAATAGAAAATGTGTTGTCTTTCTTACGATGTGCCAAGTTGGTGAAACTGGAATGTGTTTTGAATAAAAAGAGGAAAATGGTATCTCTATTAAGTACGATGTTATGAGAAGCTAACTATTTTGATTTCAGAGTTCTAGCACAAGGTTGGATAAAAAAGTGATTTAGTGTCATTATCATGCAAAAGTTAATGAACATACGATATCTATCAGTTATGGTGGGTTATATATGCAAAAAAAAATAATTTCAAGAATACGTACATTTGTTTGGATGTTAAAAGAGTGCTAAAGAGTTGTCTTATCAAACTATTCCTCAGTGGGCACAAGGTAACCCAATACATAAACCCTGATTCTGTCACAGAATCATAGGATCATAGAATGGTTTGGGTGGGAAAAGACCTTAAGATCATCTAGTTCCAACCCTCATGCCATGGGCAGGAACGCCTCACCCTAGACCATGTCACACAAGGCTCTGTCCAACCTGGCCTTGAACACTGCCAGGGTTGGAGCATTTACCACTTCTTTAGGCAACCTGTTCCAGTGCCTCACCACCCTCATGGTAAAGAACTTCTTCCTTATACCTGCCCTGAACTTCCCCTGTTTAAGTTTAACCATGTTTAAGTTTATACCATGTTGGTATAATACTCATGTACTGGCTAAGCATGAGAGTACCCATCTCCCCATTGAACTAACTAACTTGAACATTTTGCAATAAAGATAATGAATTCATATTCTTTTTGGTTTATGCAAACACATTTTTTACAATAAATTTAGTAGCTGTGTCTGTAACTGTTGAGAGGGAAAAAACCTAATAAATCCAACAAGATAGTAACTCGAGGAATTAAAGTAATTAGAACTTCACTGAGCAGCTATGGGATTTGTGTCTGACTCATAGCCTAATTATAGCCCTAGCACATCAGAAGAATCTCTCCCTGTGAGTCTGTTTGAGTTTGGCAGAGTAAGCCATTACAGGGCCTCAACAACCCAGATACAGAAAAACAATTCAGACATTCTACTACTTCCCCAAAAGAGCCTTACCATCTCAAATAGTCATTAATTTCAACATATGCATAAAAATATAGATAAGATAGAAGATGAAATAGAATGTGTGTGTACGATGCATATTTTATAAACTCAACTTTGCAACTCAGAGATGTCCATAAGAGTAGAAATCTACTAATTCTGCTTAGTAGCCCATTGTAAATGACTTTTTTTGAATTAGAATATAAATGAACACACAATATTACAAATAAAGAGAACATCCGCATCATGAGGTACTGCTTGTTTATTGATTTGACAAATTGATTTAAAGTTTAATTCTTATTGATACTTGTAAAAATACAAGGATATTTTATAAATATCTGATTTTATACCATGAACTCCTTCTATACCATTCCAATAAATTACATTTGTTGTGCCAGTTATATGGCATTTCACAGACTAAGGTTTAAACGGAAACTAACTAATCCCCACAAAGTCCCTCTGATGAAGATCAGCATTAGCATCATTCTACAGAGGCGCCACAGAGCACTTAATTTTATCTAAAAGATGGTGGGCATATGAACACTGACTGTGAAAAACAATAGTGAGCTGATGACAAATGGGCTTTATCAGTTTTCCTCCCTCGTGGGTGGAGGATACACTTACCTGAGTGTGGGGCACATGTGGAGGACCATGGAGCAACCCTTAGAAGAATTACTGGAGTACAAGGTGGCCATAAAGGGTGGGAGGAAAAGCAGCCATCTGCATCAGCCATAAACTCTAGCTAGAAGACTGAAATTCTGAAACAACTTCCCAACTTTGCTAGCAGCATTTGATAAGCATAAATGACCTGCCAGCTGTGCCTCCTCCTGAAGTTGTCACATACTTCCAACACCAGAATGCATAGACTTTCTTTGAGCTAGCTTGAGACACAAACATGAGCAGAAGCTGACATACCACCCTTCCTAGGGTTCCCAACTTTTTTAACTGAGGAAAAATGGTACTAAATATAAGACATTCTTGCAATACTTTGCAACAGCACTGGTAAGATTTCAGAGGGGGACCTAAAAAGAGCTCTTTCACTGTGTGCTAGTGAAATAGTGTAATAGTAAAGAAAGACTACATGTGAAAGGAAATAGAAGTCAGAATTTGAAGCTGAATATCGCCCTCCTAACAGGTTGCCTGCAAGGTAGCCAGAAAGAGAACATCTGCTTATGGCTCTAGATACCATCATAAAGCAAACCACTGACACTTGGCCTTTTTTAAGGGAAAACTTTTTTCTTAGACTGAAACAGGAGCATGAGAAAGGGACAAATCCTGTGTTTGCAAAACATAGGGTAAGCCTACCAACAAAATACGTATTTGCTAGAATCTGTTCTGTATTCAGTTGGCAGTGGCATGACATAGAGGAGATCATGTCACCAGAAAAACTGTTCAACCTCGAAAAACAAAGTACTTACGTATCTCCTGACTTGCGGTAATTTTCTGGACATTCCAAAGACAGACAGCGAAAGCCCCCCTGGATGTTAAAGCAGGTCTCATTGAAAGAGCAGTTATGGCTTTCTGCAACACACTCATCAATATCTGCAAAGGGAAAAAGGTGAATTAAACACATGCCTCTCCTCTACTTTCCTCTATACCTGCAGGTGCTAGGTGATGGAAGTATCACATTAGGTACTACAGAATATGGGGTGCAATTGAACATTATTATGAGATTGGAAGAAGAGGGCAGGAGAAAATAAAAGAAGAAAACTAACCCAAACAACTGGCAAGAACAGGAAAAGGAAGAGCAGCAGTGCCACTAAGTGGACAAGACCTAAACATTTGCTGAAATGTTTACATGATACTTCCTTTTAATGGCTGAACTAACTCATACCATTTCACAATGGGAACCTTAATCTCCAGAATCTTTTATAATTCTTTAGTAATATTATTATAAAAAGTATTCTCTACTTCATTCTATAGTTTACAACAGAAATTTACAGTATATTATAAAATATTGGTTTCTTCAGATTTCAAGCTGATCTTTACTGCTTTACCTATAATGATGTAGGTAAAGGCAACTTTTTAAGCATAAAAATTTGCTAGAACTTTTCAGAAGTCCACAATCCAGTTAGGTCTTCCTGCAGTTACTGAACTCACCTTGGCAGTTGCGTGCATTGGGGGCCAACCTGTAACCAGTGGAGGGACAAGTACATTGAAAGCTCCCAGGAATATTAATACATCGATAGGAACAGATATGCCCTCCAGTAGGTAAAGCACATTCATCAATATCTGCAAGAAGAAAACTACTTTACTATGTGTTCATGACGTTCAACCAAGTGCACATGCACAGTGTTCCTGCTGCAAGCTTCAAAATCTATTTCATTATTCTAATTGCTGGGCAAGGATTAAGATCATCAGATAGACGTGGCTTTAGTCAATATAAGGCCATAAGGAATAAATGGAAGTGTGAAGAAAATTCAGAGCAATATAAGGGCCCAAGAGGCAAACTAAATGCATAAGAGCAAAGCACTTCACAGTGATGTATATCATAGTACTTAACAAAAGGGACAGAGAGGAATAGTTCTATCCTTGCTCTTACAAAAACAAAATTGAGATGAGGTGTTTTGCCCCATGGTCTTACTGTCTAGTAAGTCCTGTAGACCTAAACCCAAATTCAGGATCTTGTCCACAAGGTCACACCCACATCCTCCTTGTATTTGAAGAGAACCTACTTACACATTAGTTCAGAACCAGCCACAAAAAGAGAATATATAAAATACTCCCTAGTAATATTATATATTACATATGTAAGATGTGTTTGCATCTTCACTTGCCAAAGACTAGAAATTCTGTTAGTTCCTAAGGGAAAAAATAAAACAACAACCCAACACCACATTTCTGGCAAGTTAAGTTACAAAATTATGCAAGCTACAAATCAGTGTAAACAACAAACTGACACCAGACAAGCAGAAATATTTCTCAACTAAGACATGGGTGGGAAACCTTCATTAAATACAGTTTCACAGGAAAGTCAAAGAGCACCAAATGTTAAAATTAAACAATTACAGGTACATGGAATTGTTCATGTATGTTATAGCTAGAATTAGAAATGGTCACTCATCCTCTATCTGCAAAACGATAATACTTACCTTCACATGAAATCCCATCTATGTCACTGAGCTGAAAGCCACGGCGGCAGTAACACTGATAGGAGCCATACACATTGGCACACTCTTGACTACAGGGGCTGCTCTCACACTCATTTAAATCTGAAATGCAAAATTATATACCTGAGCCCGCACATCTTGCTATATTCATCACTCCTATTACTGGAATAAGACAAAAGTTTGGAAGACAATTTTCTTTTTTTCATTAAAAAAGGAGGGAGTACATGTCACTGAGTAAGCTGGAAATAGGAGGCTTTGGGTGTATTATGCTCAACAGGGTCTAGCAGTATAGGCTCGTCTGCACCGTGCTATTCAAGGTGCATGACTTGGAGGAAGTCTTCAAGACCACACTTGCATTTTTCTATCTGGATATCAGCAAGGCTGGTTTTAAAGGTCTTGAGTCCAACCTAGTTGGATCACCCTTCAAAATGCAGTAAATGCAGACCTATACATCTCTGCATGATCCAGCCTACAGGCAATGTATTTGAACTGTGGGCTACAGTGGCCTTGATTAACAGCATTCATGTAATTGGAGATAACACACTGATTATCACGTGATAATACATGATTTCTCATGCCATTCCAGTGCAGTCCGACAAGCTAAATCATTTGGAAATAGCTAGACAGAAGTAAGTCGTATCTCACACTATATAGCCAAAGCATATGACTGCTGTACCTTCACATGACCTGCCATCAGCTGAAAGTTTGAATCCCATGGTGCAAGTGCAGTAATAAGAACCAGGAGTATTCTCACACTTGTGAGCACAAAGGCGGCCTGGATAGCGTCTGCATTCATTGATATCTGCAATGATAATTATATAGAGAGGTATGTATATATATTGGCTGTCTTCACTGCAGTAGTAGTCTGGATAAGAATGTGGTCATAAAAGCTTGATTTTTACTTTCCAGATCTAAATTTCATTTAGAAGCACCCCAGTGCATAACTGAATTAGATCTATAAAGAAGATAGTTGCTTTGATTTTACAAAGGAATGTTTCGCTGTAGGTACATATAAAAATATCACAGAAAACCATTACACACATTCTCATAATCTTACCTTTTAACAGGATAACAGATAACATGTTGACAATACTAATACACCTTCCTTTGAAGTATCAGCAGCTCTTTAATATGGTATTAGATTTATCCAAATAATATAGTAGTCAATTTTGTATTCAGATGAAAGAGGTTATGCAGAGAGCAGCAACATTCTTTACACAGGATCATTTTGTAAAGTGCCGTGGCTGCATTTGAGTCGATAGGTGCAACTTACCAATGCAAGTTCTACTGATGACATCAAAAGAATAGCCAGTTTTGCACTCACAACGGTAATTGCCTGGGGCATTTATACAAACATGTCCTTCTCCACAAGGCTGATTAGAGGATGAGCACTCATCCACATCTAAAAAAATGAGAGAAGTGGTTGAAAGTACTCTTCTGAGCATGCAAGTTGAGAGAAGAGCAACATGTTAAAATATTTCTGTTTTCCTTGTAGTGCTTTGATATAAGCCACTTACAAAAATTGAAAACACGTGCAAAAATACCTCGCTTTGCAAAAGTCACCTTAGTTACAAGCCACCCAAAGGCATCTATATACCCCTTTCAACATTACTTGAATGGCTTCTGTGAGACATCAAGTGGGCCTTGTATTATACTTCTGTATTGAGAAGACCACACAGCATTGTTCCAATACGCTAATATAGTCACAGACAATGCCATTTTTGAGGGGTGATTATAATTTCTCCTCTTTTCAGAATATATAGGGTTTCATGAGTTATTTGAAGGACAGAAAGTGGATACTTGTCATTCTTCACTTGTTAGGACTGCCGCAAGGAAGGACCGGACCAAGAACTGACTGTGGGAATGTGAAAAATTTGGCCAAAATTCAAGAAACCAGTAAACATAAATGGTAGATGTTATTTATTTTCTTCAAACTGTTTTTTCTTCCTGTTACTTACCTACACATCTTGTTCCATCTTCATTGAGATGATAACCTCGGCCACAGCTGGGTGACATTCGCTGGCAGGTGTATGAGCCATCAGTGTTAATACATATCTGTCCAGCTGGGCATGGCATGTTGGTGCTCAGGCATTCATTGATATCTAAAAGAGCACAACAAGTTAGAGTAACTATCTACTGTTTAAGGTGTTTAAGTTGAGATGCTTTCCTTATGTCATTCCTCAGATTTTGGAAAGTTCTGCTCATGGGAGAATACAACTATTCGTGTCATTTAGCTTCACTGATACAAGGCTTCCAGGGTGAAAATCAGGAGAGATATGAGAGGCCCAAATCCCACTGAAATGTGGTGGAAATTGGGTATAGAACTTCTATTTGTTTAAAATCCTTTGAAAGTCTCCCCTAAACAATACAAAGAGATGACCAATAATTCAGTTCACCAGCTCAGCCAGTTACACTGCAGTCTATCGGATGTGGCTCACAGTGAATGAGCTATTTGGTAGTATGTGCTCATATAGGTAGTAGCCACTAGATTTTTACAGAGAGATAAACTACTGCTCACAGGTATTCACCATGAATACCTTACTTTGTCTTAGGATAAGTTGTCCATGTAAACATAAGAATGTAGATAGCTTATTTACGTTACTACAAGACTATGCAACCCTCTACCATCCTTCAAATGTATGTCTGTTTTTTTACTAACTGGACATCATATCACTTTGTAACAAAGAAAACTTTTGCCTGGTAAGAACCCAGGCAAAAAATAAAAATTTCAGAAAATAAAATTTTAGAAAATGTAATAAGACAAAGCTGTCTTAAGAGTATGAGCTGTGTGGTGTATCCAGACAAGATGGTAAGGAATCCATCATTATGCAAGATTAGCATGAGCTATTAATTTGGGGGAAAAAAGTTTCAGAGTTGGGAATCAGTGGCTACAGGAGGTGCTGAAGCTGTCTGGAAATATTAATGCAACTAAGACCTGACAGTCTGTAGGTGCAGCACTGCTTGTGAGTGTTTGGGCTTGCATCCCACAACCTTCAGCAAAGACTAACTTCATGCAAGTACTTCTCTGCCTAAAATTTTCCTAACTGTTTCACTGGGATATTATCATCATTTTACAGTGGTACTGTAACTGTTGAAGAGCTACTGATTACCAGTTGGCATGGTATGGTATTATCAACAACATCCAGCTTGCAAAATATTGGCTGCCTGAAGATGGAGAAGGGGACATAGTATAATATGAAACACTTGAGCCAGGCTTATCCCAGCCCACTTAAGTGTAAAATTTTCAAATTACAAAGACACTGAAAAGACATGAAAGTTTTCAAATTTTCCAGTACCACATAGGGTAGCATTTGATTCACATTTGAATCAGTCTGTGAAATTGTTTTGGCATATATTTTGAGCAAATGCATTTTAGGAGACATAAGTCTTGCTGCTGCAAACTGATGTGTCAGTGAAGGCAAGGTAACTACTAACTGCCATGGACCTGATGCTAGCTATGGAAGATATACTTCTTCAAAGGGTTTGTTGTGCACAAGCACTTCATTTTAAAGGCTGCAATTTTGTTTTCAGTCTCAGTGTTTCCAGTGTCAGATTTCGGCACTACGGGGTATGATATGGTCAGGAGAACAAGGGGTTGACAATGAGCTAAATTTGGCAGCTGCTGCTGCACAGCCAGTTCCACAAGTCCAAGACACGCTACGCCGATGGGGGAATTCAAAGTTAAGTTGAGACTTGAAAATACTACTCAAGGGAATAACTGATAGATTTGTAGGTCACATTAGACAATTCCATTTACAGTCTGCTGGAAACCAGTAATAAAAGGGTTATAATTCTGTTTTGTAGGGGCCTTGGAAACAATCAGTCTTTAAAATAAAACTCCTCTCCAGTGTGTCATAACTGGCCCATCATTCTCATACACAGTGAGGTTCTTGATAGGCTGTAACTACTGGGATACAGGTCTGGAAAGACCTACATACCTGTAAAACCACGCGTGCTAGTATCAACAAAGTGTGTTACAGAGGATGTCATAAATTACAGCTTTTTATACTAAGCTTTTGTTAAAACCTTTTGGATAGAGAGAGGTAAAACATATTACAAATTTATTGTTTCAGATAAAATACCAAAAGACTTAAGGAAAATGTTCAAGTGGAGGTAAGTGCCTTAGGTAACCAAATCTCATTAAAAATAGAGATCTAGAACTTAAGTCTTTTATTTAAATTATTTTCATCTGTAAGTCTTACACATGAGACCAAGCCTGCCTTCAAAGTAGCAGAAAAAACACATAGCAGAGCAATGCATACATGCATGAAGAATGACTTGAGAAGCTCAGAACTTGCTGAAATTAGACTTATCTCATAGGCAACACTTAAGTATTCACCAAGATAAGAATATGTCTTACCAATACAGTTGCCTAGCGCATCTTGTATAAACCCATTCATGCACTGTAGCTTGGGTCGGCAACGGAAAGATCCTGGAGTATTCTGACAGATAAAATCGGGGGGGCAGTTATGAGTACCAGTCTCACATTCATCTATATCTGGTACATCACAAAAAAAAATTGTTAGCAGGAGTTTGGCAGAAGCTTTTTCATCAGATTTGAAACATAAGACATAGTTAAAAATGTCAAATAGATTTATCCTCAGCATACCTCCATGCAATTCAATGCAGTGACCAAAGATCAATCTGACCTACTAACTTAAACAGAATCACACTAAAACAATGCAGAATAAGCTAATTTTTTAAATTATTTCATTATTAACATTATATATAGGGAGGTCTTTGTGTTTATTATGCTTCACAAGTTTAGTTCTCACAACTAAATAATTCAAAATTATTATAGAGCACCTGAAGCATCATTTTCAGCAGTGTTCAGCCTCGATCCATCAGTGTGCTCATACATGGGCTCAGCTTAAGTCAGCAAGATTTAATTATATGTCCAAGTGCAATTTAAATTTTAACCTCAGATCCAATGCAGATGTTAATTTCTTTCATAAGCGAATTAATTGGCCTTGATTCTCATCCATATTAAGGTTTGCAATATCCTTGCATTATTGTGCTTTGAAATGCACATAAATATTATTTTCACTTTAATATTCCAGTTGAGAATTGACATTAAATATCTGTGAATAAATTATGGTTCAGATAATGAAGAAAAGGGTTAATGAGGCTTCATTAATGAATGTAACTCTATCCACAGAGAAGCAACTAAAATTTAATGTTTTCCACCTGTAACAGGATGAAATCTCTTAATGCTGTTAAAATATAGAAATTTTCCAGCAATAGGTTGCCTCAGCTTTCCCATTTATGCAGCTGACACGACAGCAGATGCCACTGCTTATCCCTAGAGCTTTGTGAGACTTAATGATTGTGGAGCCCATTTTAAGTTTATGATGGGTTAATATTGAATTGGGTTCAGCAAGTTATTGGTTGGACTCAATGATCTTAAAGGTCTTTTCCAACTTAAATTATTCTACAATTCAATGTTGCACAACTCAGTCATTTTGCTTGGTATTTAAAAATCATACATGAAGACTATTAACTTTCTATTTTCATTGTTATTAATATAACATCAATAATTAACAATCTTAACAGACCTTTTCCAGATAAGAAATTTCTAACAATAATGGCATGCATAATCTACTATCTGTACTTCTTTTATTCCAGAAGAGAAAGATAGTTAATGCTTGGAGGTAAGCTTTTTGTTGGCCTAAATCTGATGTCATTCAAATCAGCAGAAACTTTACTTCAAAGGGATCAAAGTTAGACCCTGATACTTTGAAAAACAAAGCCTGTGTATGTTCTGCAGGTTTTGGACTGGAGTAAGCTTTTTTTTAGTCAATCTACTCTTCATCACTGATCAGTTCCTACAGTATAACCTCACCCATAATTTTGGTTGAGTTAATTTACTCAGTGGAATGAAATTAGTCTGTTTATAAACAGTTCTAAGCTCTGGGGGAACAGACTTTCATAGTGTAAACCTATTCCACATCAAATGGAATCTGCTGCTAATTTAATAATAATTTCTGCAAAGGTAACATGTCAGGTGAAGTTATGAATGCATGTAACAGCACACTTTGAGCTAGATGCAACTTGAAATCAGTCATTTCTTAAGTAAAAAAAAAAAAAAGACTATTACCCTCATGTTCAAAACAGTATTTGCAACCCTTTTGCATTTTTAAATCCTTAAAAATGTTGTGATTAAGAAATTAATCCCTCTGTAATAAATTTAAACCGCCTGAGGATAAAGGCTTACTTTTTTTAAAAGATGCATCTAGCTTAGCATTTTCAAACGGAATCACCTTGTCACTCTACTTGCCACACTTCATTTCACAGTCCAAAGTGTGCAAACTTAATTCTTTCAGGTGAAACTAAACTATTAGACATGCTCCAGGAGCAGGACTTAGACACTCCACTCGCTAACAAGAAACTAATTCACAGGACAGGACTAGAGCTAGCCAGAAGTAAACACCAGAAAATCGTGTGTAATGTGAGTGCTGGGCCTTCAAAATCAACTGTTTCCAGCCCCAGACCAGCTCCTATTGCACAACACAAATTACTAGTGTAAAATAAATGTAATTATCTCTCCTGGAAGTCTCTTCAGTAGTCCGCAGACAGTCTGATCTGGTATCTGCAAGGTGACAGGTGGAAAACTACTGTTCCAGAAGAACTAGCACTGTCTCTGCCTCCCTGTGTAACTACAGCTAACACATATATTTACCAAAAGAGCATGACATGATGATGTTTTTTACTTAAGTCTAGAAAATTTCAATGTCTCTGCACAGGACATACCTTTGCAACGACTGTCATCTGTTAGTTCATAACCAGTTCCACAGCTCGTGTCCCGCTGACAGCGAAAGGATCCTAATGTATTGACACAAGTTTGTCCAATCCCACAACTGTGTGTCCCAGTGATGCATTCATTAATATCTAGAATATGCAAAATTATTGAGGGGAGGGGGAAGGAAGAGTGAATAAGAAACATTAAATCATCTGGCATCTATGTGTATCAAATGTAAAAGTTTTCCTTTTTATATTTCACGCTAGGTTAATCTGACCAATCATCAATATGTATTTTATATTCTGAAGTTTGTATCTGACCTACTTACCTAGACCCCCTTCTCAGTCAATGACAGAAAAAGGCACTCCTGATGAATAATGTTTGTCATTCTAGAATAGCTATGCAGAAGAGGCAAGATTAACTGTGCCCTATAAGTGCTTTTCTCTCAGTTAGCAACAAAAAGAGCCTAGGCTGATATTTGCTCAGAAGCAAATATCTACATTGCACATGTCTGAAGTCAAATGCAATGAATCCTATCCCAGCTCATTTCACTTGTTCTGCCTTTAGTTCTTCTGGAAGACACTTAACAATCCTTACCCTTGCCTATTCCCATGCCACACATGATATTAAAAATTTTCATCCTTTCTGTCAGTTGTGTCCTTAACAAGGCGAAGAATCCTACTCTACTTCATCTGCCTTATCAATTACTACCTACTATTACAAAAGAGAATAAGTATTTTATTTTGGTTTTATTCATAACACTAAATTCAAGATCTTTTGCCTCTTCTCTCTAAATCCTGCACCTCTTCTACTTATTCTTTCTTAATTCCATCTTTCCACAACTCTCATTCTAACTCTCCATTTATATCAACTTTTTATGATGTCACCTCTTCTTCCAGCTGATGTAAGCATATTCAGATCTTTTCTGTCTGCATCTTTTTTAGTCTAGTCTTGCTCTTTCAAAACAATGATGTTGATCGCTGAGGCAATTTTTTACCTTCGCAGTTGACACCATCTGGTTGAAGCTGATACCCAACAAAGCAGGAGCAGACATAACTGGATCCTGTGTCTCTGCACTGCTGAGAGCATGGACCACCACCTAATTGGATATTTTAAGAAGTCTTATATAAAGAGGCTCATCACAAGAACTGAAACAAACCATTAATTTATAGGATGCTTTCTGATTTATTTAGAAAAGCAGATAACTAAACATGCACATATACAAAAGAAGTGTTTATAATCACTGGATTCTTTTAGCACTAAAAGTGAATACAAGAAGTGTATTAAGGAGTCACACGTTGCCCATCACTATTAGAAGCTGAAGGAAAAATGCTGATGAGCTCAGACACCTCCTCAGATTTTGGCTGGAAGTTAAAACTTTGTAATGGTGATTACTGTAAAATAAGACAAGATGCATCGTCATAAGTTAGTGAAACATTTTCATTATTAGCTGCACTAGACTATATTTTTAGCCCATCATTATTAGAACCATACTCCTGAATTAGCTATAGTGTGCATTCTTTTCCTACTTAGTAGGCAGGAAACATGAAAGGGAGAAGAGGCTATTGTGAACAACAAAGGCTTCAGAGAACCTGAAAGAACCAAGACTTACTACTGAGGAGCTAAGGACATAGTGAGGTGTGTGCAGGAGTCACAAAGAATGAGAAAGCAAGCTGGGGTTACTCTGGCAAACAGAAAGAGAAAACATAATATGACAGTTACACAAAATTAAGCTCATCATTAAGAAAACTTTTTTCCTGATCTTGTTAAACGATAATTTTAATATTAAAAACATTTCATATTCTCACAATAGAGAAAAGGTTATATACTTCCAACCATTTGTTGTAAGAGTATTGATATTCTTATTACAAATAGAACCTGTTCTCTTCCATTTTTCAGAATAGCTGTATAGGCATTATAACAAAAGGTTTGAGATAAGCACAATCAATGTGGGCAATGCAGGTGGAATACTTTAAACTTTTGAGTGAATTAGAATTTTTTTAAGTGTAAAGATTTCCAATCAGGACAGGGCCATTAATATGCCACAGAAAATTAGGTGTTTACACAGTACTGGCAAAGACAATGACATTAAAAGGAACCATAGTCTTGTGGTTGAGATGGACAGCTACTGCTTTCTGAACCTTTGCTAATACTTGAGCTCCTGTCAGCTGCAGTAAAACCTATCACGAATGTGTGGAAGAACAGAATTTGTTTCCTCATATACCACAAAGGTGCTCCAAAACAAACTCCTGGAGGTTCCATTGCCTAAGAAATTTAACTTTACCGTGGTGAAGTTCAGAAGATCAGAAGCAATTTTGACGTGCCAAGTTTATCAGAAAACATACTGTAGACAGAAACTTTAATTTGTAATTAGTCATACCAATCCATCTCTTGCAGGCAGCTGATTAACTGACAAATGCAACAACTGCATACATAAAGAAATAATGCTAGGAAAATATGTAACACATTCTTCTATGTCATCTCTTATAATTAGCAGCTGGAGACAAGGAGAGCTAGTGTTGGCTTTGCCTAGCTAATGACCTAGTAGACATTTCCATCCTCTCTAGAGTGTAATAGCTATGCAACATGCCACACAGTAAATCATCTCTCAACTGGAACATAAGTCTATTAAATTGATTTTATCCTAAATACATTACTTAGTTCTGAAATGCTTGTAGAAAATAATAAATCACTGCTGGTTTAAGTTTATAGACATGTAAATCACATATGAGAAGCAATAAATCAGAATACTTTGCAGAACAATGTCCCAATAACACATTCTTCCCAGGAGGCAGAACAGTCGGACTAAAGAGGACAATAGACGCTTTTCTTTCCTTTTTTTCAGATGATGTATCAAACAGAAAACAAGTTTCATTTCATATTCAATCACCCTAATCATCCCAAGAGAAGAATAGAATAATGCACATATTTAATATAGCATCACCATATTTTGAAGAATCCAGAGTACTCCACAGGTTCAACAGGTAACACATCTGAGGTATTACCCACTAGAAGATAAATAGAAGTTAAATGTATAGCCTAAGCTTTAGCTGGGTAAAATGAACTCCACTATGGAAGACAATGCCTCCCTTGTATTTAAGAACTATTGAGGCATCACATATAATGGCCTACTACTTCTTAGAAAGGACCTTTATTCTGTTATTTTTACCCATAACTAGCCTGAGCAAAAGGTTTTGGCTAATCTCTAGATCTAAGTTTGCTTCACTTTTATTGGAGGCAATCACAAAAGAGCTGGCTAACAGGACTAGTCACCTGACTTACCTCTGCAGCCATCATGCAGATAGGGATCTTCTTGGTCTAGTTCTTCCTTTGAAATTTCAACTAAAAAGAGGAGAGATAGGCATTAGAGGAGAAACCACTTTTCTTCTCACAGTAAAAAGCTGCCTGCTTGGGATGGGACTCAGACCAGGGTTTTGGATAAACCAGGACAAAATTAAAGAACATTATTTACATATTTTACAGCTATTTCATACTTAAGTTTGCCATTCAAATCCCCATGGCCATGGGGCATTTTCCATCTGACTGATTGAATATGAAAGTCATGCTGTGATCATAGATAAAATTTAGGCTAAGATTTTCAAATGCAGGTTCTCAGCATTAGGTTTTTAACCAGTGTTTAACCTCATTTTCATAAGACATGTTGCTGAGGCATGCTTGGCTTCCACTAACTTTATAGTAGCTTGGGGTACTCACAGTTATAATGAAAATCAGATTAACCTCAGTTATTTATTTAGACTTCATTCCAAAAAGAACTCCACACCCAAACTTTGGGCACCTACTTACGGCATTCTTTCAAATGTGCTTCATATACCTTAACACGGAGTTTTGATCAGAGGTACTTCTGTTTACATGCATGTGTCCTGAGAGTTCTTTCTCTCTACAATAAAAGCGCTGAAATGGGTTCACTGCCTGAACCCATTGCTTGCCCAAAGGACTAGCTAATGGACTTACTCTGATCCTGCCACTTTGAACACAGGGCAAATGGTAGTGAGATGTGTAAAAACACAATCTCCAAATACTCTGGTTATTGAATACGAAGCTTGGTCTTATTTCATATAATTGTCCATAAGCCTATTCGACCAGCAGTCTCTTACAAGCAAATAACAAATCATGGGTTTATTTGCAAGATTTGTGCAGTGGCACAAGGCTGGGTTGGTACACTGGGTCCTCAAGCTATAGGGGCATTTTAGTCATACAGAAGCCAAGGAAATCAGTTTGCCCAAATATGGTTTGATTTTATAGAGGTCTCCTGGGACACAATACCAAAGACTATTCTTTACATGACCAAGAAAGTGTCATACAATAAATTAGCTTGCCTTACCCCTTGCAGTAGAATGCCTTGAGTGTCTTTCTATTGCATAACACAAACACAAGATGCTAGTTCAAGGAGCTGCTTTGCAAAATGGAGTCTGATCTCCCCTTAATGACTAACAAAAGTGTCTATTCGTACTGCTTGCTCTGCCTTTCTACAGGCAATTTTTGTTGTTGATAGGGATATTTGACATATGTCGAACTATCTGCTTGTTTCTTAGTTTAATGATGAGAACATTGTCCTGCCCTGCTTGCTGACATAGACTCATCTTTGCAGTGCACAATATTTACCACAATAACCATACTACAACCATACTAACCATATGCATAGTGGTTATTATGCACACCACTTGCCTCCAAGGGTAAGTATGAAAGTACTGTACACTGTGCTCACAATTTGTATTTTCATGTGTTGACCTACTTTTCATGTCATGCAGGTACATTCAGTCTAAAAATTTTTCTTATTAGCAGAGTGATCTAAGTCCAGTCACTTCAGCCAGAGCTAATGGACAAGGGGAATTCCTCCGCTGAAACAGTGGCACACAAAGAAACTGGAAAGGCATTTCCAAACGTTACTTGATAAGGGCAGACACTGACATAAGCCAGGTTTGAAAGACCTGAAACAAGTCTGATAACACACTGGCTCAAGCTGACCAAAGCAAGCTTTTGTGGTATGGTCTGGGCTTGAGTTCATGTGTTTGGTTACGATGACATCTCCAAAAATCTGTCACTGGTGATCTGCAAGCCAGACTGTATGTTTTCAGTGCTCAACTGCCCCCAAAGGAGGCAACACTACACAGCATGACTTTTCTGCAATTTTAGGGCTGTCTGCTAAGTGAAAAAGGCAAAAACCCACCAAAACCATGTCTGTAAGGGTCAGTATGTCCACATAGAATCTAACAGAAATAATTTAAATTACAGGCACTCTTTGTACCTCATATCATTCTGTGTCTCACTTTTTATATTTGCAACGTAAAATACCTTGCTCCTTTTTAGGAGCATCATCACTGATGGACAGATCGATGCCTTCTTGACCTTTCACACAGCAAGCTCTGAAGACAATTCCACACTGGTATCCTATCTTTGGGTTGGGTTCACAACTCTGTCCTTGAACTTGGGCAGTCTTTCCCAGCAAACAACAGTAGCAGCATACCTGTTAATAAATAAATAATAATTTAAAGAGAGTCAAATCCTAGCCCTGAACAAGTCAATGCAAATTTTGTCTGTAGTGTCAATGTGTTATCTCCTTGGCAAACTGATGGAAAAATTTCTGCAAACTCTTTAAGAACTCCTGGTAGACTTAGTCTCAGACATTTTGATCCATAGTTGAGTTCAGTGAGCTTTGCATCAGGCCTACATACAGCCAAGCATGGAACCTGGATCCAGTTCTCACAAAAATTGTGTATGTGTGAATGTGTGTGCAAGGTGATGTGAAGGACCAGAATGGTTCCCATAGGTATGTGGAATTTCATTGCTCTCTGCCTGCATAGCCCCATTTCACACACCAGTGAACAGTGGAACCTCTTAACATCTCTGTTTCCCTTTTATGTCCAGTTCAATTAAAACAGGACACGATCAGTGAAGTACATGACTCAGTTTATAATTAAACTGCCTAGTCAACTTCCCAGCAAAAAATAACCCTCTCTGAACTAACAGACAAACAAGCCAACAAACATGATTCATCCAAGGTTAGTGTTAACAGGTCATAAAGAGAAGCTGTTCTGCTCTGAAAAACAGACTACATAGTCAAACATTATTTAAAAGCATCACAATCCTGACATGGCTTCAGCAAAGAAACATGATCTGCCTCTTCCAGACCTGCTACAAATACACCACAGAAGTGAACGCAGGGCAAGTTAATCCCATGGAGGCTTCATTTTAGTTGAACTTGAGGGGATACTGCAGATTTATTCAGCTCTCTTTCTTGCTGTTAGAAATCAGCAAAGATGTTTAGTTTTCTGGAACTGATCTGCTACTGCTACTGTCATGTAAAAGCAGATTTAAGCTTTTATTTTTAATTATTCTTCCAGACTTTTTTTTTTTTTGCTTGAGAAAAATAGCCTGCACTGTTAAACAGAACGGATGAATATGAAATAACTGAATGTTGAACTAAACATCTGTAATTTGATGCTTTGAGCACCACAAATACTGAAAAGAAGGCAACTATGACATTTATTTCATTAGTCTCAGATGTATACCACTGCCTATATTCTACAAGGTGTTACATATGTTTCTCCCTCTATACTGCAGAGAAAGGTTCTTCTAAAACCTAGAGCAGTGTGAAAGTAAAATAATAAAATATTTTTTCCTTGTTTCTTCAATCTTCTTTTACTTTACCGCATTTTGAATTACCTACGCATGCTATTTTGTACTTTGTCTTTAAAGACAGAGCCAAATCCTCTCCCTGCTACAGACTGCTCTACCGCAGGAACTCTCCTCTCCTGGCCAGTGCTGTGCTGTTGTTTTCATGCACACTCTAAGATACATGGTTTCCCTTATTAACTACTGTTTAGTGGGATGGTTCCTAACTACTGGGACTTTTTACTTGGTTCTCCAACTGCTTGCATCCAGTGGTGGATGCTCTGGTTTCATCACTCATATGTCTGGGATATTTCCATCTTTTCTGGCTTTTCTGGATGACTTCAGAAATAAATACTTTATGATCTCTTCCAAGAATTGCAACATTTCTGAATATTTATTCTAACATGTCTAACATTTTCCTGAGGCATCCTTCTCCAAGTTTTTAACATGTCTATAATTTTGTTAAGATTTCCAATTTTCTTAACCATAAATTAAAAGACAGAAATGAAAACTGCGCTACAGATTCATTGTTTAACTTAAGCTTATGTATTTTTGATAAACCTTATTTAAGTTACTGGATACAGCTGATGCCTTGCCAGATTTTGACATCATATACTCCTGGATATTCTCACTGTCTTCTACTGTTAGGCATATGAAGTGACTCAGTCTATTTCTTTGTCTTGTCACATAATGCTCAAATTGGGATTTACAGCATTTCTTTAGACTTTTTAAAGAGTGATCATTAATCTTGCCATTCTTGAAATGCTGAATAGGCTTATGTTCTTTATTTTGTCCAGGTTGAGCCACCACTTGAAAGACCTCTGTCTCCAGCTCATGTGAATCTTCAATTACAGAGCTTGCTATGTCTTGCAATGTCTATAAAAAAACGCATCTTCATTTACCATAATCGTATGCATTGAATCATTTGTTCCAACCTATATTTATTCTAAGTGTGCATGATGCATCTTGATTTAACACCTTGATAATAATTTATGTTGCTATACCACAGCCAAAACAATACGAAGATGGAAAGTGTCAAAAATTTTCTTAACTGATGTTTATGGTAACCAGCTTTTAATATTAACCCTATAAGATTCTGCACTGGCAGTCCTAGGGGCTAACATTTCCTGCTCAACTAAAGAAAAAAGATGGATAAGCTGATGAATGGCTTTGTGCTCAGAGCACACCCAGAAATCCACATATCTCACCTCTGAACTTAGAAAGTCACCTTTTCTTTCAGTTCTCCCACTGCGGAATGGTAGTAATATAGCAGTGATAATGCTCATTTAACTTATGTTCACAGAGCACTCCGGTATTATTATAACTATCACTATCCTGGTAAGATTAATCTCAACATTTCTTTTTTCACGCTGATTTTTCCAGGGTTGTTAGCCTTTTCTGCAAGACTTCGAACCTTTAGTCCAAAGTGCAGTTCTAGACTCTGTATTAGTTCAAGTTCTTGATGTGTTCATAGCCATTTTCCAAAGGTTGCCAGCAGCCTGGAGGCATACTGCAATGACCATTTACCTATTTGCTAGAACTATCACTGCCTTCATGGATAGTACAACTTAGTGATGGAGTTGTTACTATACACTTTCACTGCCCATAAGCCTGCCTTTGCTTCTTAAGTGATCCTGACAATAACCTCAAACATTTTTTCCTTTCCTCTCCCCTGCTATCAGCAAAAGCTCATGCAGCTTCAGAGCCATGCCTTGATCTTTGTGTTTGGATATAAACCTGTGTCCTACTTGAAGTCCTATGACCCCTTGACTGCTCTTATGCCTTGCCTTCTCACAGAAAGGAATAAGGATGGAAGGAATAAGGAAATAGTTACATGTGAGAAGCTTGATGATTTAATTTTGGTGTGATTAGGAAGCACCTGAAATTGCTATCATCAATAAGCTCTTTTAATTAGTTAAAATGTATAACAGTTCTTTATTATTTATGTTACCAAAGTTTAAGAGACATACTATTTAAGTTACTAGATCCGTGTGAACTGTGTATTAACATTGCTTTTGTCTATCTGTCCACAAGAGGTCTCTCACTTGCTGAAATCCAGACTAACTAGTAGATGCTATGAAAAACAGACTGAAAAAAAATACAAGTCAGCCAGTGGAATTTTTCAGGACTTTAGAAGATCTGAACAAAAATTAAAAATAAGTTCAACAGTCCAAAGCAATAAAACTTTTATGCTCACCCAATATACACAAACACAATATTCTTGCCAAAACTGGGGAGATAAGGCCGTATGTTGATCTTTGGGAAAAGAAAACCTTTTATAAATCCATTTCAACATTGCCTGTACCAGAATCAAATCTGAAATTTTTACTGTTTTTTGATTAACATTTTCAAGATTAATGATTAATTTTTGCATCCTTTTTTTCAAGAAGTTATGCTTCCAAAAGAACAGAGGAGTAAAATTATGCCCATCATTACCTATGCCTACTGCCTTTGCATGTAAAAGCTGAGAGAAGTGTTTTCAAAATATGGTCTTTTATCTTCTTTCCAATCACAAGTTTTAGATTCAAAAGAAAGATTAGCTGCCTAATTTTCTGCAATGTACTGTGATTAATCCTACTAATTGAATTACTAAATCACTCTTTCTGCTTCCTTTAAGGAGACAGAGAAGATCCAAAAGATTTCTCATGCTATCTAAGCTAAACTGAAATTCAGCAACTCGGGCAAAATGGGATTCAAGCCCATGTCAGATGGGCTTGGTGTTAGTGTAAAAGTTTGCTACAGCGTGGCACAACTGCAAGATATGTCTCAAGGTCATCAGGTTCAAACTGTAGTCAACAAAAGAAATCATGAATTGTTCACTCAGATCATAAATCATCTATGTCCATCATGGATGAAAAGAGACCACCTATAAAGACACACAAACAGCTAACTCAGTAGAGTTATTAAGTGTAAGATATTTCTATTGCGGGGGAAGGGGGAGGCGTAATGTGGCTGACAACAATTAAATAACACTGACTGTGTTTACACAAGTAAATTAAACAGGGACAGAATATGGGCTCTGGCATTGTCCTGCAATCATCTGTAATGTTTAAATATTAGGAAGCTCTAATGGCAACTAACATCCTCTCAGACAATGCTGAAACATATTTCGGGGTTAGCACAGGCCAGCGAGTGTTCCCAACAGCTCTCATGCACTGTGTGATGCAGAGGAAAGATGTCAGTTACATGACATGAGCTGTGCTGAGCAGTTTATTCTCAGGGCCAGAGGTCAAGGCCAAGTTCATTTTGTTTAATAATACAGCTGTCACCCTGAAAACCTGCCATCTTTAAAGAAGTCTGGCCATTTTGAAAAACAACATCATTAACTCTTCTTCCTCATGCTGACAAGCCCACATAGGGAAACATCAGTCAATTGATGGGAAAGTGGGCTTCCTTGAGCAGTTGCATTCTAGTTTAGAGTTGTCCCATGGCATGTGTTTAAAATAGTGCTGCTGTTATAAACCTGCCACTGTTTGCAAGCACTTGAATCTGCAGAATACTTGCCACCACAGTCCTTGTTCATCTGTTCATAGCCCTTCAAAGTACTGACACATAGGGCTAAATATTTTTTCATGCCGCATGCACATTGGGATGGACATGCTTCCTAACAGCAAAGGCTGCATAGAGGGATTTCTAAGCCAGGAGCAGGGCATACCCTGGACATGGTCAACAGGAGACATATGGCCCCTCTGGGGGACACACTCCACTGTGGACGGAATCAGGCTACAAATGTAGACAAGTTTGTGCCAAACCAACAATGCCACCATCATCAGCAGGTGTTACCTTTCTTCTACTCACAGTGAGAACATGGATCACTTCACAGCCCTGGCACCTGTGACATCCTCCAGCCAGGAACGTGATCAAAATGTCATTTTGAAGAGAGATGAAACTTGTGAGTCAGACATTATCTGCCATCTTCTATACACTAGATCTTTTTTTATCTGAATGACCCAAAACATTCAGCATTTTTGAGCAGGGGGAAAAATTAAAATCACTCTCATCTATTTCCATCACCACTGAAAGAAAGCTGTAACAGGACCAGAGCTGTTAATGACTGGGTCATGATCAAGGTCAAGATCTTGCTGGTAGAACTTTCTTCCAACAGCACTCTGCAGGGTGCTATGAATAGGCTCCCTTTCAAAAAATGAGAGGCAAAGACAGTAGTAAGGGCGGAGGGCAGGGCATAGATTAACTAAAGATGCCAACAATAGGCATTTCTATTCTTATATCGAACACAATTATCATAAGCTTACACGTCTCCATTGAATTGTAAATCGAAGTTGTGTTAACTAAGGACATATACACAAGCTGGAATAATAAGTACACTAAGAGGATTAACTTCAGTCCTACCCCTTCAGACCACCAATACTCAAAGCCACTGAGTGTGACCTTAGGCCATGAAGCTCTAACGAAAGCTAAAGTCTGAAACATGGCCGAGTTTCTCACCCATCCCTTCCTACAGTGTTGATGTCTTCTGTTTATGCAAAATTAGTTTCATAGCCAATTACCCATTCAAGACTTTCCACCCTCTTGCATTCTACCCTCTGCCTCTGCTAAAATGTAATAAAATAGTCTGCTTCACTCAACAAGGAACTGTTTCTCTCAAAGAAGCACAAAGTAGACAGCCTTAACAGAGACACGAGGTGTAGGAGGGGAAAAAATCTGTTCATGTGCATCAAACTGAGTATGGTGACCTTCAGGGTCAACCCTTAATACTAATCTACAGTCAATACCTTTTCTTAAAGATGAACAGGAGTATCTCTTACGTCTCACCTTGAAGTAGTCAGCTTCACAAGTGGAATTTTCACCAATATGTGAGTCACACTCCTCACGCACGTTGGCAAATTCAATCCCATCTGAACAGTACTGCTTTTCCAAGTGGCTGCGGCAGCACTGTACCTGAGTCATACTGACAAAAGGATGGAAGCAATAGGAAAAAAATGTCATACATAGGTCAAGAACAGATAATGCAAGTTTTGACAATTAGCACTTGTCTTATGGAAAGAGGTTCACATTTTAGTTACGAAGTAAAAATACTCTTTAGGAGTACTCAGAATGTCTAGGTGATATGTATAATTGAGTTTAACAGCTTGTCTACCTTACAGTCTGCCCTAATGGGTTTTTTTATGCAAATGAGTAACTTCAACCACGTTTGCCACAGGGTTCAAGGTCTTCAGGTCTTGCATTCTTGCATGTTCTGTGACAACTGATGGCTGAAGACAGGATGGCAAGAACCAAATCGGTACACTGATGGAAGGGAGAAGTGAGTCTGTAATCCTGTGGGCAGTCTACCCTCACACCTTGTTCAAATGAACAGACACAGCATGTTGAAGGAAGCTCGGAGTGTTGCTCTGTGAGGCAAATGGAGATATGGGGAGAAGTGAAGATACCAAGGAAAATCATAGAGAGAAGAGTGTATTGCAAGCAAGAAGTGAAGAAAGACAGGGGTGAGAACAATATTACAGAGAAGGAAGATGTGCAGAGGAGAAAGAATAAAAACTTGCAGAAAGTCAGCTTTGTTACTTCCACTGCTCATAAAATCATTCTGCTTTATCTCAGTTTCACTAAATAAAAATTCACTGAAAACTCCTTCCTATGGAAAAATAATCTGCATGAGGAGGCTTTAAACTTCTCCATTCTTGTCACTACTCCCACCTGAATGCTAAGACCATTGAAGGACACATCTTCCCTCTCTCCACCCTGATTTTAGCATAACTCAGCTTTGTTGGGTAGCATCATGGGTGGAGCTTGCCATTTAAAGCTCTTCCACTGCTACCTCCCGTAACAGACACTGGGAAACAGGAAAGCTAAAAAGAACAATAGCAAATCAGATTACACATACAAGGATATAAACATATCCACGTGTTTTGTGATAACCCAGTTTCACCAAGAATGATGGTACCTGAGTTGCTAGGGGGAAAGGAAACTGTCCCAAAGGCAATCTGAGCTGATAAATTCTATTTACAGTACAATCAGTCATGCCCTGATATGCTAGAGATCTATAAGAAGTGCACAGAAAAACCCTATAAATGCACTGCTATACCCAGCAGCATGGGAACTATTACGTATCTTATGGACCAACAACGCTGAACACGTTCTCTTTGTTGTTATGAGTAGTCACCTATTTTTTCCCCCTCATCTCTAGTTATGTGAACTTATGAATAAAATCTTTTCAAAGGTTGCCTAGAAATACATAAAATTATGTATAGATATTCAGCAAACAATTACCCTTTACTCAAAAAAATGCTTCATTTACACTGTCAGACATTTTGGAAGTGTAAGGAAGAGGGGTGGGCTAGTTGCACCACTGAGCTACAGGCTTCTCCTACTGTCACCTGAGATGTGAATTCCCATGCACCACCTCTGGAGTAGCCTCCCTGCACTTGATGACCACAGGACGAGCTTTCAGCTCCCAAGTGGTGTGAGGGACTCCCTCAGCTCTAAGGCCAGCCCACTAAAAGCAGGGGATATGTGGATATGGGGCTCAGATTCTGCATCTCTGTGCATATTGGTTGTTAAGCTACAATCCTAAGGCAAGGTTGTAAAGCTACAATCCTGAAGAGTCCCAACTCTTGTTTACTGGATTTTGCAATGGTCCAATTGTGCAGTTCTCACTTCGAAAAAAACAGCCATGCGATTTCAATGCATAGGAACAAAAACCAGGATAAATTCATGAAAAAATTATTCTAAATTAGGCTCTAAAGTCATAGCAAGAAGTTAAGCCCAGGACAGTAACTTTATTTGGCAGAATATTTGAAGGTTTTGATACTTGATTTAGTTCCAGTTTGGAAGAATATGTAGCTTTTTTGTTGCTGAAATTCCCTCTGAAGAAGAATTTCCATTCCCTGCCCAGCTCTGGGGTGGTCTGACTGTTAGGACTTTGGGAGCCTGTAAAACCTGAACTTCAAGTGCCAGAGTGTGGGAGTTGAGACTTTCCAGCTCCTTTAGCCCTTCAAGTCCTGTTGAGGAGCTAGATTTGTTAGCCACAGACAAATAAACAAACAAACAACAGCAGTCTTTCAGTAGATCTGTTTGATTTCCAGTGTGGCCTTCGTTTTTTGGGGGTTTTTTTCCCCCCAAATACAAATAATCTCTTTGAAATCTCTGACAAATTGGCGATTTCAACCAAAACAAAAAAGTTTCTTAAAAAGTTTCCCACAGCTGTATTCATAAGTCATGTGGCCCACCCCAACTGTAATAAGGAATTAAACACCAATTGAATACCAGATTAAAATACCATTTGTTCATTCTCAGAACAACAACAATAAACTCACACTTCATTGCCCAAATCCTACAGTGAAGTTGCACTGGTAGCAAATACTGCTTGAGACTGTAAACACTTGTATGTCTGTAACAGACATAGAAATACTTGAAAGATGACAGAGAAAAATGCTAGAAAAATCTGCACAGTACTGGTCTGCTGGCTGCACCTTAGCCTGCCCAGCTGACCATACTTTTCCCTTTGCTGATGGTTGCTAAAGCATACCACCACAAGCTCTTGAGACTCCAATACTTCTGAGATGAAGAGTATCCATCCCTGTCTGTGTTGTTACCTGTGTCTCCCTGGCTCAGACCCTAATATAATATATATAATATAATATATACCCACTTCTTAATTCACAACAGAGTAAAGGAGCCATGTCTTACTGCTCTCTACAACTACGTGAAAGGAGGTTGTCCTGAGGTGGAGGTCAGTCTCTTCTCCAAAGTAACAAGCGATAGGATAAGAGGTAATGGCCTCAAACTGCACCAGAGGAAGTTTAGACTGGATATTACTAAACAATTCTTCACAGAAAGGGTGCTCAGGCATTGGAACAGGCTGCTCAGGGCAGTGGTGGAATCACTGTTCCTGGAAGTGTTCAAAAACTGTGCAGATGAGGGCCTCAGCGACGCGGTTTAGTGGTGATTTGGCAGTGCTGGGGTAATGGTTGGACATGATGATCTTAAAGGTCTTTTCCAACACAGCTGATTCTCTGATTAGCTAATAGAGGCTAATGATTTGTCTCATCATGTAAAAATTTTCAACTCTTCCTGTGTAGCATTCCTATTAACTTCATGACTATGGACAGCATACACTATCGGTCTCTAAAAAAGAGAAAGTAAAGGGTACTTTCCTGTGGTTTTGGTTGGTTTTTTTTTAATCACTTCTAATAATTAAAAAAGCCGAAGGCTACTTGTACCTTATGTGCCATATTCTGATTTTCAGTTAAAATAGGGCAGCAGAAATAATATTGAAATAAATGGGTATTTACAATATGGCTGAAATCTTAAGACAGTAAAGACTGAATATCTAGGAGCATGAGGCCTCATAACTGACATTCATGCAGAGTATTTCAGGTAAAATCATGCATCTTTGAAAGACAAGTTTTATGCATAGTTCACTAGTGAACAGAAATCACTTGGACGTCTAAAAAAAATCCATATTCTTTGTTGCAGGTGCTGATCTAAAATTAAAGTTATTTCATTACTAGGTAATTTGATCATAAATCAAGTTAAGAAATCATGGTTTATATTTTTACTTTTACTTTCTGTTAAAATTTAACTGTTACTCATTTTCATGGAATAAATTTCCAGCTGAAAATATACATGCCTATTTACCTCCACAGTCCCTTCATATTTATTATTCTCCTTCCCAGAGGATGCAGTCCTAAACCAGCACAGATTTCATAATCACCTGGTTTTCCTTTCATTTCTTTCCTTAAAAGCATTAAAATTTAACTTTTCTCTGAAACAATGTCTCTGTTGTCCATTTCATTTCATGACCCTCTCCCTCTCTCCTTTTACTTATTAGCCTGTCTGCAAACTATGTCAGTGCTATTCATGTGCACAGTGGAAGGTCTTGGACAAAAAATATTTGAATTAAAAAGAGATTGATTCCGCGCCAGAATTATCTTGCAAACACAAGCTGTGTTTTCCACTCTTAGTCCTTTCAGTTTTCAGTTTAACATGCAATAGAAATGGATTTAGGAAAATTAAGAGCAAGATCTGGTATTATGAGTGACACAGCATGACAAATGAAAATAATAAAGAGTGCCTCAACAATGAAAATACATACATCTGATATAAATAAATTAGCAAAGCATTCAAGTAAAAATAATTGATTCAACAAATCTCAATTAATCAGCTGCAATTTATAAAAAACTGTAGATTACATAATAAAAGTTTTCTTAAAGGTAAAGGGTAAAATTATATTGATCTAATATACTATAGGTTGCCCAACGAAGTTGTGTATGCTCCAACCCTGGAGGTGTTCAAGGCCAGGCTGGACAGAGCCTTGGGCAACACAGTTTAGTGTGTGGTGTCCCTGCTCAAGGCAGGGGGGTTGGAACTAGATGATCTTAAGGTCCTTTCCAACCCTAACTATTCTATGATTCTATATAGAGAAACAAAACTGATCATGTGACACAGAAGGATGGAGTTTGGCATTATTCACAAAGTGAAGTAAGCAAGTTATCCCAAATGAGTAGAAATAAAACCCTAACCACATCATAGCAGACTGTTCTTCTATCCCTCTGACTCTGAAGCCAAAAAATCTTAGTGACTGAGGCACGCTTAGCAGACTACAGAGAGGAGATAATAATTGATAAAGACAGATTCTCCAAAAGTAACTTTAAACAGCTTTTTCATACATAAAACTGTCACAACTTTGATGTCCAAAATCTCAAGCTCTTCCAGACTTAAAATGGCATAAATCAATAAACATCTATCAGCAGTCAAGCATCTGGTGCCTATCACTCTGAACACTCTTGTCTTATTACTTCCTTGTGTTCCCATCTGTATCCAAGTGCTGCCACTTGTCTCTACTTGGGAAAACAGATGACCTTTTTGTTCTGTTTTTGCACCATACCTAGCAGAGTGTTCTGTAGCTTCTCCTTTTATGTGTTCTTGCAACACTAATAATAAATAATGTTATTCCCAATGTAACTCCAAAGACTTGACTTAGTGTTAAAGGCATGCAGTTCTCATATGGAGATAGACTGTTTCTGGACCATGGATTAAGCTCACTTGCTAAAAGCTCCGGGCAGGTGAAACTCTTCATTTTCAAAGGATGAAGATTTACTGGCCAGGTTGAGTGCCCCCCCCCCCCCCCCAAAAAAAAGCAGTTCCTTCCAGCTGCTGTGAGTTTAAGCACATCACAAGAATATGGATGAATGGGCAAAAAGCTTCTGTTATGACAGCCAACAGTATTATTCATTAAAACTCCACACTCTCATTTACTGAGTTATGAAGACACAGAGAAAAATGTCATTGTTGTCCAGAGTGATAATACAGTGAGGTATACTCATTTGTGGGACAAGCAACCACAGTAAGAGAATGCAGACACGATTGGACATTGAGCCTGGAGCCTGGTTTCAACTTAAATGTAACTGAGTAACAGAAGCCAAGTAGATCTTATGAATTCAAGTGGACTTCATAAAGGGCCTGGCTCACCTGTCCTGACAAGAAAGCGAGCACATCTGCAGTTTGAACTGCACCATATGCAGCAAATGACACTCACATGGATGGCAAGGCCCTCCAGAACCACAAGAGATTTTGAGGGAAGTATCCTAAAAAGATGTTGAAACCCAGAACTGTCAGCTTGTTTCTAGGATACATAGGAGGTATGAGAACTTCCATGCTCATGTGGAAACCCTTCTTGATTCCTATGAATATGCTTTAAGTTGTTGGGAAAAGGTCAAGGGGGTGTAATTCTAATTCACTATGGCAGCTTGTACCTCACATGAATGGAAGAAAAGCAAAAGAAACTAGCTTGCTTTGAGGGAAGGACTGAATCTGAGATGACATTATGTTGTTATTATTCTAAGCAGAGGATTCAAAACCAGAATATAAATTCTTGTAACGTGTGCTGGGGAAAGTACTCATATCCAATCTGTTCTGTCGTATGGTCTTTGCAAAGTAACTGCACAAAATGCATTTTTCTTCATCAAAACTGTTCATTTCACAATTTTACCCTTGCATTCAACTGCTAACCTTGCAAACCTAAGCTAAAATATGCAGGGCAAACAGCTCCATCTGGTATGAAGTAATATAGGTTTGTATACTCAAGAGGCCATGTTCTTTTAGAGCTCTCCAAGTCAGATGATCTATGCTGTCCAACACTGTGCTGCACTGGACAGTCAAAAGATCCCAGCCGGAGTTAAAACAACCACATAAATGCCAGGTGTTAAAATAAACTTTTATTTATGTTTATTTAAATGCAGGTGTTTAAATAGGAAGGAAGTTCTTTGGAAAATCTGTAACCAGTAAGGCATCCTGTGCCATATTCTCACCTGCCTAGACCTCAGCAAGTGCAGCAAACCTGGTTCTTCCCACATCTATGTGCAGACGGAATAAATGTACAAAATCAATGCCATTACCTTCACATGTTTCCAAAAGGAATCACGTTCCCTCACTGCTCATTCTGGCTCCATTTACACCAGAAATTAGAAGTAGAATTTAGCCCTTACTTTTGTGTCTGAAATGGCATTGAAAAGGGATTTTTCTGTACCTTTCACAGATAGGCCAGTTTTAAGCTAAACTTCACTCAAACATTAATATGTTTATTTGTTATACAGTCATGAATAAATGCAACTGAACTGCATTTATCCTATTTTTTTTTGTTTGCCAATAAGTGCTCAAGCCTCTCACAGAACATGTGCCTCTACCCATTTCTGTGTTACCATTACATCACTATTATTTATTAATTAAATATCAATTATTTACAAAAGCTAGATGAAGCATTAGTAAGCTTTTTTCAGGTCCTATTAAGTCCTAAAGGCTCTCTACAATGGTAGACTTTAAAAGAATAAATGACATTTACAGCAGAATCACAACTCACATTAATTAAATGATCATTAAATCATCAAGGTTCTTACTCCCAGACTGTTCAATAAACTTGGTTTCCTGTTTTTCCTGCCTCTGTTTTGTCTGTATGACTCTTTAAGGTATTTCCTAAACTGGGATTTAAGTCCTATCTGTCAATTCTGCATAAGAGACTGCTTTCAATGCCAATATAAATGCAAAGGTCAGAGAACATGGACAGACTTGCCTGCAAGACACATTCTTTCCATAATAAAGATCAATCCAACACATCTACAGTTACTGAGGTTAAATCACTTTGCAATCCATTTGAAAAGAAGGAAGCAATATAACATGCCTTAAATACAAAGTCCTGTGTGAAACTGCCCCTCAGATTACCAATCACAAGCTGTTAACTCCACAAAATAAACATTAAAAGTGCATTTAACAGCAAAAATAACACAAACTATCACTGGCATAAAAAATATAAATGTCCCAAACGTATAAGAGGTTCAGTATATACAAAATATTACTGTGCAAATAATTGTAACCTTTTAATTATTTCGTTTGCTAGATTACATGATAGAAATTAGTATCATATTAAATGTCAGTAGATTTAAGAAATCTGTTTATAAACTAAAGGTTACTATTGTCTATGCTCAAATACATTTGACAAAAGTCAGACACACTGCATAACCAGTAATCTTGACTTAAGCTTTAAGTGGCAACACACAGCAATTCAACTAAGAACTGCAGGACAATTATCTGTGTGGCACTACACAGAAGAAACAGTTTTAAAAGGTTGTCTTACATAAATACATCTGTATGTATTCAATCCATAGATTATTCGTGTACAGGATCTGTTGTGTTTCTTGATAAACTTTTGTTCAAGAATCAGGACCATTGCTGGGCTAGATTCATAATCTGTATAAACTGAGAAAGCTTTGCTGACATTAGTGAAGCCACACTGAGATGTATTGACTGTTAGTATAGTACTTTTCTGCCTAAGAGACAGTACATGTCAAACAGATTAGAGTTGGATGACTCTATGCTATAACAACAGCAAAAATTTAAAGGACATAATGGAAGAAAAGTAGGTACTCCCCAAGACTAGAGGTGGATTTGAAAAACCTGAATTTATGAGCTGGATGCTTCACCTTCTAAATCATGCCATTCCCATGGTTTTACATGAAAATACAAACTGTAGTTTAATGCATCATACATAACTGTATACCTGCATTCTCTGGACTCAGATATTAAGGGTAGAGAAGCACATATCCTGTTTTCATTTGCCCATTCAATGCCCTTGTCACAGCATTCTTCCATTGACAGATCTGCAGAAATGAGGAAAGAAAGAAAAAGACAATATATTTAATACAACTTTAGTAAATGATATTACATCTGCCAGTTAAAAACAAACAATCAAACCAAAGAGAGAGTCCAGTCATTTTCCCCTTCCTAATCTGCACACAGAATAGTGCACCCATCTGTAAGGCACCATGGCCAAATGAAGCATCCGTTAGCACCTTGCAATAAGCCCAAATGCTGGAGGTATTCCGTCCTTGGTGATGCAAATTGCAGTTTCCCTTAACTTTCCACATAAAGACACAGCCTAGGGGCTGATACTATAGGAGAAAACAGTTCATATAGGAAAGAGTACTGCACAATAAAATGATCTGTCAGATGGCACTCCTTTATTATCAAAAATGGCAGTAGCAATAAGCAACCTTTTAAAATCCTGAAGAATACAGCATTAATGATGCTATTGGGGTTGGAACTAGATGATCTTTAAGGTCGCTTGAAACCCAAACCATTTTCTGATTCCATGAAATCAAATAAGTGTCTGACATGGAAGATAGATTAATCTCATCACAAGTTAGTTTGTAGAACTATTTTTTCCTGAGGTTATTATTCAATTAATGTTTTACTCAAAGCATGTCTGTAAATGCAGAAGTACTGTACAGAGAGACAGAAAAATACATAGTATTTTGATCACATAACGTGAAAGAAAAATTAATACAGATACCAACTTATAACAACTCTGAAACTAAGGGGAAAAGCATACTGCAGATAATTATTTGTTCAGAGTATATTTTTGCAAAAGTCTCTTATTTAATAAAACTAAATACTGTTAATGAACTGACAAGCACTACAGATTTGCTTCATATTCCAAGTGCAAAAGTTCACTGCACAGCAGGTGTATCAGAACTTGGAATAAACATGAGTCACATTTTCCTATTATCTTGTAGTCCAGATACTGAACAGCTCCTTGTATAACAAATATGCAATCTGTGCGCAAAAAAATAATAAATCTGATTATCAAGAGGGACAGCTTTCTAATGTTTTCTCTTTGTTTCATAAGTTTTGGCTCTGACAGGCTGCACCCTTGAGTGCTGAGGGAGCTGGCTGATGTCACTGCCAGGCTACTCACGATTACCTTTTAGAGGTCATGGTGAATGAGAGAAGCTCCTGAAGAATGGAAAAGAATTAATTCCCCGCCATGTTCAAGAAGGACGTAGTTTCCCAGATCTTCAATAGAGAAGATCTGGGAAACTACAGGCTGGTCAACTTCTTTTCACTCTCTGGGAAGGTGACAGAAAAAGTCCTCCTGGTAACAATGTCCAAACACATGAAGGACAAGAAGATAATAGGGGAAAGTCAGCTTGGATTTACAAAGGGTATATCATGCTTAACTATCCTCATAGCTTTCTACAAGAAGATGGCTAGCTTGATGGATGAGGGGAGAGCAGTGGATGTTATTTACCTTGATGTAAGTATGGGTTTTACCTCTGTCTTCCATAACATCATCGTAGGCAAACTGACAATGTTAGGGCAGCGGACAGTGACATGGACACTGGGAAAGATTACACCCTCAACAAGTTCACAGATGATGCAAATCTGTGATGAGTAGTTGATGCACCAGAGGGACGTCAACAGGCCGGAGAACTGGGCTGACAGGAACCTCACAAAGTTCAGCAATGGGAAATGCAAAGTCCTGCATCTGGGGAGGAATAAGCTCTATGCACCAGTACACACTGAGGACTGACCAGCTGGAAAGCAGCTCTGCAAAGAAGGACCGAAGTGTCCTGGGAGACACTGCGAGCAACACACTTCTGCAGCAAAGAAGGCTATCATCTTGGGCTGCATTAGACAGAACACTGTCAGTGGGTTGAGGGAGGTGATTCTTCTCCTCTGCTCAGTATCAGTGAAGCCACAACTGGAGTGCTGTGTCCAGTCCTGGGCTCCCTATTTCAAGAAAGACATGGACTTACTGTAGTGAGACCAGTGCAGGCCACCAAGATGATTTATGCACTGGAGTATCTTTCACATGAGGAGAGATTGAGAGAGCTGGAACCATTAAGCCTGGACAAAAGAATGTTCAGGAGGAATCCCATTGCTGTTTATAAATACCTGACAGGAGGGGATGAAGAATCCTCTCAACAGTGTCCACTGACAGGAAAAAGAGGCAATTGACGCAAATTATACCATATGAAGTTCCTTCTGAACACAAGAAAATACTTCTTTACTCTGAGAGTGTTCAAATACTGGACAATCTCAAGAGGTCCCTTCCAACCAAAACAGTTTTTGACTAATTACTGTAGGTTGCTGTGCTGCACAGAGGAAGGCAAATCTCATTTACTTCTTTTTGATGGAGAAGCTGAAATAAAGATTGATGAAATTACCTGCCCCCATTACACAGCAAGCTGGTGGCAGAACAAGGAGTGCACAATGGGTCATTCCCAGACCATCTCTGTACTGGATCATAAAATGCCTCACATGATTGTCTCATTCTTAGTTTTGCTCCAAGCACATCTAAAAGGACCAAAATTCAATAAGCAACAGCATTATATTCAAGACTATCCATCTTCACAAATTACTTCCTGCAGAGCCTACTAAGGACAAGCATCTGCCTCCTCTGGCTCTCCCTACACCAGTTACAAAGCCATCATTCCCTAGGTGCTCCTGATGTAGAATGGGGTTTACAGCTTCCTTCTATCTCTTATGTACCCTCCCACAAGCCTGTTGGAGTTATCAAAATAAGTGGAAATATTATTAAATCTGTTTATGATCATACTTACTTTGACACAGGTCAGAGTTTACATGACCACCTCAACTGGCAGATCTTCGTATGTGGGAAAGGATAAAGCAGCCGAAAGCAAGTAGAGATAATCCCTTCCAGTAACTCAGTTGTTTGCAGGGAACAACGTATATATCCTGACTAGTGATTATAATCCAACAATTCAAATTCAAAGGAAAGAGTTAAATGAGATTTTAGGATGCATTATTCATCTTCAGGTAGGTACTCTTAAGGTAATTACCAGATCTACAGTGCAAAGCTCTGGAGTATTAAGCATAATTCTGGCTATTCATCTTTAGAAAAGATTACATCAAAATCAAAAATGTGTAAAGAAAAGCAAGAAGGATGGGCAGAGGAATCAAAGCCCTATTATATGAGGAGAAATTGGAAGAAACAGACTATTTGAAGCCTAGATAAGTAAAGCTTATGAAAGGATGTGGTGCCTGTCAGCAAGTATTAGAGTAGTAAATAATAATCAGAATTATGTGATCAAGTAAACCAAATGTGTTTTAATAAGAAAATCATTATACTTATAAATAGAATTACATTAAATGTCAGTTTATAACAGAGCTCTGTACTCTATGACCCAGGTCACCCTTCTAGTCTTACTTACATACCTAAAATAATGGTCAAAATTCTGTCATTACAAAGTCAAGGCAATATTTCTCATGAATTCCTCAGTGTGTCCAGAATTCATGCCAGTGTCTGAAAGCTAATTGCAGTTCATAATGCTACAGAGAAAATCAGTCTTGTAAATAAATATCTGCCTGTGTTGAAAGACATGAATTTGTGTCTGATCTTTTCTCTGGGAATAGGGACCCTGTCTCGTGTACTCTCTCTGCCAGTGTATTGCTAACAAACACTATATGCATCAAACTTCTTACAACGTGTTACAAATCACCATATTTTTAGTGCTGTTGTCTGCAATCAATCTTAACTGTGCTGAAAAATGATACACATATAACTAAAGTGCAGAGCTGGCTGCAGGTTTTTGCAGGGCTTTGTACAAATGGGTCTTTTGCCAAGTTCCTCCCCAGAAGGACAATCCCTGGCTCTGGACATCAGTTCTTCCCTCCCAACTCTGGCAACACACCTCTACTGCAACCAAATAACTCAAGAATTCAAAGCAGGCCAAGCTAAGCAAGCTTGCCTGTAGGAGTGCATCCAGGCAAAGAAGGATTTTGGGTAGTTTTTTGAGGTCCAGACTCATTGTTTTGGTGACATCACAATTCATATCCTCCGAAGATTCTGCCAAAAATCTCTTGAGAATAGAGGGAAGTGAAAAACAAGCAGTAAGAAAAGGACTCCACCCTCAAGGCCATTCTTCTAAAACATAACAATAAACCAGTGAAAAACATTTTCTCTAGGCTGGCTTTGCAGTTCGCTTTTGAAAATGGTCATTTGTGGACAAATCTCTACCCTTTCAAAATCTAAAAAAGTGCGTGTCTCACACTTTGGATGTCAGCTCCTGATTGCACTGGAGTTGATTCTGACTGCTTTGGCACGAAGAGTTGCTAATGCGTATTCAGAACCAGGACAGACTTATCGTCTCATAACTGTGTTTTTCCAGTGTTGTGTATTCAACCGTACATGTGCATACTCATGTGGCTCCCAGATGGAAACTTTTGGGCAAGCAGTTCATACTGAGGCCATGTGTGCCTCCTTACACCCTCTTCAGGGGACCAACAGCATGGGGGGCCATGGCCTCTCTTCAGTTTCTCATAACTAGAGGTTTGTAATGCAGGGCATCTGAAAGGAAAAGGAAGTGGGAAGCAGATGGTAGAAACTACGCTGATTACGACATCTCAGAGAATGTCACTTACTGTGCAGAAAGTGATGTGGTTTCTTTTCCCTGAATGTGACCATGTGTCTCTTACTGCTCGTAGCACCCCTCAGAGCTGGAGCGCTAAGATGATCAGATAGAAATTACAGTACTGCTCTGCTGAA